AGTGTCAGAACCAAGACACCAGCTCTGTAACTCTCACTTGCAGAGGATTCTCAAGACAAAGGCCACCAAGCATAAAGTATTTTTCATGAATAAAGGTAGCTTAGTTTGCCTTTTTATTACCTAAATGAAAGTGTATAATAAACGCATTTCCAGATTGTATTTGTTCATATGGCTAAGAACAGAAAAAAAGAGAGGACTTGAAATTAGATTTCTATTAAAAATCATGGAGACCTTTGTTTAGAACTTCTAAAAGCTTCAAGAATGTATGAATAAAGAACATAAGTTCATTATAAAGACTGATAATCAGTATTTTCTACATGCACAGTAACAATCTAAACATTCAGAGTTATACCATTTATGTGAGAGCTTTTTTAATAAGCAAATTCAAGTGATTTATTATTACATTTTTTTCTGTATAATGCAATTCATAGGTTAGAATTAAATGCCTCTATAATGTGAATTCTTACCAAATTTTTATATGCTATTAGATCAGGGAAAAACTGTTGCCTTTGAAGACATTTGTAACAGAATTTTTAAGAGTGGTGTGAATAGAAGGGTCTCTTGTGAAGGCACTAGGAAACCAGTGTACAGGAACGTTGGTTACAAGAACAGTTGATAATTAAAATCAAGAATATGATCAACTGCAATGATCAGCAGTAATCAAACTGGTACATACAGAGAAATGTGGCTGAACAAGACCAGAGAGCCTGTGCTCCAAGGCCAGAGCACACAAGACTAATCAGCAGCAAATCTACATGCCAAAACCAGATGAATTGTGAAAAGCCTGACATGCCACACCTCCTTTATCCCAACCCAGGACAGACTGTAGCCATAAAGAGAGACAAAATGAAGAAGCAAAGACAGCAGGCAGCAATCTTGCCCAAGATTTATGGTGGATGAAGCAAGCGTGATTCTGTGGCAAAAGATCACATCTTAATACCTGTCTGACTCCTAAAAAGCACAAAAAACTAAAAACAGTTCAGCACCAATTAAGAGGAACCCAAGAGACATACAGAGGATTCAAAAACTGATGTTTGTTGCAGTACATGTCATACCCCAGTGAACCTGGCCAGATCGCACAGACACAAATTTTGGTGCTTACAAGTTTGTGGATGTGAGAGAGATCTAGGACAACAGAACATATGTGACTAAGCACTAAGTATCACCTTTCATGAGGTCTCACACTGAATTTGGTTACCTAGCTTCCTGTGCCAGTATCAATTCTATGAAAGGGAGTTTACTTGTGATTGTCACTATAACAATTACACAGGGAACAGTAACTGAGCAAATGTGTCAACTCTAGTAGGCACAATGTTTTCCTTATCACTGCCAATTCAGTATTTAAGTACCTCCCTAAATTCAGACAAAAAGCACAATATTTAAGTTTACCTGATGTGCATAAAATGCTGCCACAGGCTTCATACCCATCCGATAGGCCTCCCCAGCCTTTTTCAAACATTCTTTTCTCTTTTGTTGGTGACAAAAAGCTTCTGCTCTTAAATCATCATATTGTGGATACTCAAAGTCTTGAAATATTTCACTCAAAGGATCATCCTCTTCCTTACATTTTTTTGCCTGTAGGAATTTGCAATGTTGAACGTAAGTAAGCATTGTAGGGTGTTTTCATTAACATAGCTTTGGATATCCTTATAAGTTCTATTTAAAAAAAAAATAAAACTACCTTCTTTTCCCGGTTTTTTGCACTGTAGGAAGTAACAATTTCATTTTGCTGAACATTTTCTTGAGCTATAACTGTTTTTACAGGATCTGCCTCCAGGACACAGTTCAGAAACTGTTCAGTTTGTTCTAAAGAGTAGCTGTAAAAGATAAGTAAAATCTGTGACCTCACTGTCAGAGACTGAAACAGTTAATGATTTACACATTCTAAGATCACCAAAAGACTTTTGCAAACTGAAAAGTAGCAGCTGCTCACCCAGCAAAGCCCACCCCTCCCTGAATACTGCCAAAGGACCTTCTGATCAGATAAGTGGGTGCCAGTGTCCCATATCCTGGGTGCAGATGACGGTCTGAGGAAGGGAAGAGGCTAAGAAGAAGCAAGTCCTGCAAAGCAGGAAAATCCCTTTTATCATGCCAATGTCCTCATCTAGCCTGGGCTATGCATCTCAAATGCTGGACCAGGACTGATGCTGGCACAATAGGCAGCTGCAGCTGTCTTCAGAGATGTCAGAGGCTCATGGCATGGTCCCGTGACACTATCCATTCTAAAACTCCCCACCCCAGGGAGGTACAAGGCATTCCCACCTGAGCTGGAAGTGTATAATAACTCATAACATCTTTGAGTTGTGGGGGGGGGTTTCCCCCAAACCCAATGGACCAAGACCAGCACTTCAACCAACAGACATGGAAGCTGCAACTACCAAGTTTCATCGCTGGACCCAGTGGGCAGTGACTATATACTTCTTTCCACCCTTATCCTTTCTTTCCCTTATGCATTTCCTTAAGTGTTACCTTTATGCTTTATTGCTATAGATGTTATGCTTTAACAATGCTTTATTGACATAGATGCTTTAATACTGCTATGCTTTAATAGTGCTATATTGCTATGCTTTAATCTACAGATGCTTTAGTATTAACAATGCCATATTGCATAGATGCTCTAATATTGCCATGCTTTAACAGTGCTATATTGCTATGCTCTAATATTGCTTTACTGCTATAGATGCTTTAATATTACTATGCTTTAATAGTAGTATATTGCTATGCTTTAATGTTGCTATACTGCTGTATAGATGATAACATACATACAGATGTTGTATTGCTGTAGAATGATAACACCCAACATGGCAACATACCTGTTTACCTTCGAAACAAATTGTTCTAAAATAAACCCTACATATGTATGTTTACAAACTCCGATTATTCAGTGTCCTTTCAGTCTAATCCATCTCAAGAGATTTATTCATATGCACCTGGGTTACCCTCCCATTTCTGGGGCGGGTCACAACACAAATATATAATAGGTGCTATATTTAACAAAAGGCATATTACAAACCTTGATATTGTTACAGAAATAGACTACATTGGAGATAAAGCACTGGAATGGAATATTCCACTGGAACAGAATATTCCACCTTATTGCAAAAAGGCTTGCAGACTTCCTAGCATTACTGGCGTCAACATACATGCAAATCTTGGTTGACTGAATCATAATTGAGGGGCACTTGAATATTAAAAGGAAAATGACATACTAAAGTAAATTGCATCCTACCTTGATCAAAGAGACATAAGTAAATGCTGCTTTTTGGGTTGGATAAGATACTTTATCTTAAATCTTCTCTGGTCAGGGTTAGATAATACATACTAATTTAAAACTAGCTCAGTTTTCTGAAACTCTTATGAAGGAAAATCCTTGTATTTTCAGTGAAGCTTTGTTATTAAATTTAATTAAATACTACATTAGTTGCCATCAGCTTTCTAATAAGCCCTCTTCTTTATTCTTGCTGTTCAGTAAGCTAACAAGAAAAAGGCTGATCAAGAGTAAAGATAGATTTTGGGAAATGCAACACTATGAAGAGAATTTAGAATGTGAAAAACAAGAGATGGTGAAATGTATGAGCTATAGAGATGGATGAAGGACATATTTTAAACAGGAAAGATTTTTATAACAACCTGGACAAGCAGAATGACTGAGAGGTAGGCATGCAAACCCATGTGTAGAGACAGACATTCAAATGGCTGAGGATAAAAATAAAGACATTTCTTTCCAAAAAAATTCAGTTGTCAGAAAAGTTCAGTTCTTGGATTTAACAAGGTAGACATGTACCCCCGAAATATATTGCAAAAGAGAGAATGTCAGCAGGAAGAGATGGAGAGATGGCTCATTCCTTCAGAGCTGCTGTAGTAGCCAGGAAAGTATTCACAGCTAACATCAGGTGATGGTACTTTTCCTCTTGTGCAGATGACATTTTAACTTATTATTACCACACCCAGTAATTTCTCCCACTTGATTTAAATCTCAGCTCTAGAGCAAATATGCATTTACACTGACAATCAGCCAGTGGTCAATAGCCAGAGACATTCTTCTCCTAGTGAAAGAAACTGTCTGTTCTCCCCCTCCACAAAAAAAAACAAAAACCAAAAACAAGTTTACACTGAGAGTTTTTATGCCCTTTTTGCCTTTAAGACCACCTAATTTTGCCTTTATTTAAATTACCAAATAGTGTGCTAGTTTGTAAAAAGCCATTTTTTAGCAGTATCTTAACTCTTAATATTTAAGACAGCAAATGTGCACTACAGAATGTTACTGAGTACCATTTTCACAAAAACCTGTAAAGATTTCTTACTTGTTGTCCCTGAAGATATCCATTAAGAAACTTTGATTAATAGTTGGAAACATCTCAAAAAGTTGCTTCTCCTTTAGTTTAGCAGCACAGTCTTTTCTAGCCGTAGAAGGAACACGATTCTACCCAGAAGACAAAAGAAAGATATTACAAGTTCTTGATTAGAAAAAAATATCATCACAGGGGAGCCAATCAACTTTACTGTTATTTGTTAAGATTTAAAAAAATATCTACCCAGTTGGTATGCACCCACAGCAATGACAACATGCCAGTATCAGCCTGCCACACTGATCAGCATAAGGAAGGACAGGTGAGTTCTATTATACACCACTGCAGTACTCTGCAATCATTTGAAGTTATGCAGCTGGAGCTCCCTCATAACTTGGAAAAAGTAAAAGAAGGATTTTTTAGGAGGAACTTAGGTTTTGGAATTTATTCCCTACTAGTCTATCTAGTCTACTGCTAAGCTTGTGCAAAGTCCACCTCTCTTCTCTATACTGAGGGCCTGGGGTTGAAACAACATTTTATTATTAAGCAACCTAAACAATTTTGTTTTGCTGTATCTGAAGCTGTACTGCAATATTCTTATTTGTGAAGTCATCTGAGAAGATGACATAGTTATAACTCAAAA